GCTCATGTAAACTTCAGCTGGGCTGCCCAGAAGGGCAGCAGCCCTTCAGGCTGGGAACTTCTCCTACTAGATAAAAACAGGGCAGCTCCAGACTATTTATGTCTTCCTCAGCCACCTACTGGGTATCCTCCCCCAGTGATTGGTTGACACAAAAAAAAAATTCAGGCTGCTTTTTTGCCTTTTTCAGCTCACTACATTCTAGAATCCTCTAGAACAGGAGTGGGCAACTGTGGCCCTCCAGCTGTTGTAGAACTACAAGTCCCATGAGGCATTGCAAAACTGACAGTTACAAGCATGACTCCAAAAGGCAGAGGCATGATGGGACTTTTAGTTCACCAACAGCTGGAGGGCCACAGTTGCCCACCCCTGCTCTAGAAGGCAGCGGGAGCAATCAAACCTGCAGCCTGTGCAGCCCAAAATAATCACAAACTGCTCCACTGATTGTAGAGGAGCTGAAAAAAAAGAACTAAATTTACCTAATCAGAGAGTGCTACATTAATAAAATGTAAGGCTGTTTCTTTCCAGGTGCAGAAGGAAAGTGCTGCAGTTGCAGTATATATTGCAGGCACCTAGGGTTACTGGTGCCTCTAGTTACCTGCTATCATGGCCAAAAATCGGGCTGGCATTTGTTCGTGCAATGCTGCAATATCTCCAGGGGTGACTACCTCTTCCCCTTCATATTATTAATAGTCCATTACTATGACAGGCTTTGTCACTGGTCAATAGGAATGTGCAGAAGTTAGAGAAAAGCAGACAAGTTTTGGCAGAAAGTGTTAACATTTTGACAGTAGGAATAATTAGAGATCCGGCTGCTATAGCAGTGTAGTTTCATTTTTTTATAGTTGATTTTAGTTAAAGCTAAAATAGTAATTTAACCACTTGCCTGCTGGGCACTTATACCGCGCTACCTGCCCAGGCCAATTTTCAGCTTTCAGTGCTGTCGCACTTTGAATGACAATTGCGCAGTCATGCAACATTGTACTCATATGAAATATTTATATTTTTTTCACACAAATAGAGCTTTCTTTTGGTGGTGTTTCATTTTTTGTGCTAAAAACAAAAAAAAGAAAAAAATGTAAAAAAAAAAGTATTTCTTTGTTTCTAATATAAAATTTTGTGAACAGGTAATTTTTTCTCCTCCACTGATGTGCGTTGATGAGGCTTCACTGATAGGCAGCACTGATAGGCAGCACTGATGGGCACTGATAGGTGGCACATATGAAGTGGCATGGATAGGCAGCACTGATGGGCACTGATAGGCAGCACTGATGGGCACTGATAGGCAGCACTGATAGGTGGCACTGATGGGCACTGTTGGGTGGCGCTGACTGCCGGCACTGATGGGTGGCACTGACTGCCGGCACTGATGGGTGGCACTAATGGGCGGCACTGACTGCCGGCACTGATGGGTGGCACTGATGGGCACAGATGGGTGGCACTACTAAGCACTGCTGGGCACAGGTGGGTGGCACTGCTGAGCAGTTGTGGGTGTCACTGGTGGGTGTCACTGATGATCGGTGCCGAACTGTCCTCTGACAATTGCGATTATCGGCAGTACTTTCCTCGTGCTGTGACAGCATGAAGAAAGTGCAGCCGATAACCAGCAACTGCATTTACCAGTGATCAGTGTGTCATTGGACACAGCTGATCATGTGGTAAAAGGCCGCTGTGATTGGCCTTTTACCACATCACGTGATTAGCTGTGTCCTTAGGACACAGCAATCAAGGAGATTGCTGGGTGCGTGCCCCCGGGGTGCGCGGGAGGGCGCGTTCTGGGGGGACGTCATATAACGCCCTCCCAGAACCGGACAACTGTGCTGTAGCCATCATTCGGCTATAGCGCAGCTGGCAAGTGGTTAAAGTATGCACTTAAAGTGTTACTAAACCCACAACAGTAAAATCAGGAAAGCATGCTTGTTATACTCACTGTGGAACCTAAGGGATTAATCCTCCACATTGAGTAAAAAGGCTGTTTGATCCTGTCTTCTCTGATCCTCCCCTTCTTCTAATGTCCCCAATCCATCTGCTGATAGTACAGAGCTCTAGGAGTCACTCTACACATACTCAGTTTAGTGTGTCTGGCTAGGGAGCTTTTTTATTTTTTTTTGGGAGTGTGTTTGCATGTGATCAGCAAACGGCCAATCAGCACTATCCAAACAGGGGGTCAGGGGTTATGCAGCCTCATAGAATGAAAACTCCTACTACAAGCTTTATCCAGTTCTCAGCTGGACACTGATAGAAGGAGGGCTTTTTTCTCGAAAGAAGGAACTCCCCCTTTATGAGTCACTTCTTGTCTACACCCCCTGCCCACCTTTGAGTACTGTCACTTGGTTCCACCCCCTACCCACCTCCCAGTACCTCTCCTTTTAGAGAATACAGAGCCGAGTATCATTTTGTGGTGCTAAATAATTTGTATAGAATTTTTTAATGATAACAAGAAAGGAAAAATAGATCCTCTGCAGCCAGCAGCAATTCCTCCAGCAACAATGGACCCCCAAAACAAAATACCACCCCAGCAACAATTGACCCCAGCAGCTACAAAAGATCTTCCAGCAGCTAGCATCAATAGAGTCTCCAGCTGCCAGAAACAACAGACAATAGACCCCACCCTTAACTGTATATCACTGTATATCACTTCCAGCAACATTTGAGCCCAATCATCAATAGATCCCCCACCAGCAACAATAAATCCCCCAACACTCCCTAGCACCCCTTGCCATTACATACATTCAGTGCTGGAGGTGCCGGAACTTCGTTCCCTCACGTTCCCGCTGAAAAAAAATCTCTGGTTGTAATTCACAAGACTGCTATATACTGCGGATAAGAAAAGGTATTTAGCAGTTTATATTTAGTAAAATAATTGCATTTCCATGTTCTGTGTACTGTGGGAGACCAGATATAGTGAATGCAGGGTCCTGGGTTTAGTAACACTTTAATAGACGTGTACTGTACTTCCCCTTTAACAGTGGAGATTTTGGCAAATTTAAAGGGTCATAAATGCCTTCATTTTAACACTGCCTATTAAATCATTATTTTCTTTTATGCATTTATTATAAGATCCCCATCCAAAGCTTTACCCAGATTCAAGATACAGCCTAGTCAATGAGCGATAAAAATTGTAAGCACATTATTAATAACTCCTTATCACCTCGGCCATATTGTTCAGTTCAGTCCACAATGTTGAGCCAGAATGTCCTGATGTGTTACAAAGTAAGACGTTGAACGTTGAACAACAGAACGCTACTTTACAGAACTCAATTTAAATATCTGATCATATATTGGGAGATTTAAGCTCCCAAATTAACTTCCTGACCTGGCAGAAAGCAAGTTAGCTGAGTCTAATGCACAGCAGAGAGATCAAATACTAAAAGACTATTACCGCGGTGCATTATTATTCAAACAAGTCACTCACTGACCATGAGAAGGGTTCTCTACTCAACATTCTCTGTCTTCATGGAACAAGGGTAAGGAAGCATCACTTAAAGGGTAAGTATACCTTTACACAATAACATTAAACAGGTCAGCTGACTTCAGTTATCCTGGCCACCCCTTTGGACCCTGTTACACAAAGCAGTCGTAATGCCCCATGCTGCTGGTGTAGAGGTCTGTACTTCATTATACAGAGTGAGTATCCATCATATTGCTCCCAATTACACTTGCTCATTGGCCAGCATAGCCATGTGACTGTGCTGGACAATTTGAAGGGCATCTGAGGCTTCTTCTTCCAGTAAGATGTCCCAGAAGAAAGAAGCACTTCTCATTGCATTAGCATGGTCACATGGTTGTGCTGACCAATGAGTGATTACCGTTGCAAGCATTATGATGAATACTCATTCTGGGGCTGTGCATTGCAATGTACTATGTATGGACTGCTACCCCAGCAGTATAGCCCATGCGACAATATGAGCAGCGAGGTCTGGAGTGATGGCCAGGATATTTGGAGTTAGTTTACCTTTTCGTTTGTCATGAAAAGGTGATGTTATCGTTTAATTTTAACTGTGATCCCCCATGGATGTCCTCTACCTGTGCTGTCAAGAACTGCTCAGCCTTGCACCCTACATTGTTCTGTGAAAGACTGGGTCAATGTATCAGGATCATGTGACAACTGCAACTGGCTGTCACAATGGTCACATGGTCAGGTGCTTGTCCTGCCTGATTCCGATCATGACTAGAGACTAAGAGCTGTGTATGACAGTTTGGTCACTGTGCTGGGAACCTGCTGCATAAAAACCTAAGCTATCCACAGATGCATATTTATGGCGCACAGGCGTTAAAGCTCACCTTCTCTGCCACTGCACATATGCATAACAGGAGAGGCGGAAAATTAAAAAAGGATGCATATCAATAATTCTGACTTCACTGGCTGCTCACAAGCACAGGGCCACTGACCTGGAAGTCCTGAAGCCATAGGATCATAAGGAGAACCAGTCAACTAGCAATTACGTAAGTAAGTTAGCAATGGCAGCCTTTTTTTGGGGGGGGGGGTTAGAGTTTAAATTCATTTATTTATTTGTAGTATTTTTTAGTTAAATATGAATTATTGTGAATACGGAATATTTACATTTAGAACCAGCAGATGGAACTCTCGGCTATCCCTCACGTGACTATCATTACCTGTGTTTCTAAAAAAAAAAAACTGTTTAGAGAACTCAATAGCTGAAGCTCAAATTTACATATGAGTAAAGCTGGCCAAAAATGGCTAGAATTTCAAGGAGCCAGAGAAGAAATTCCCCTCCACCCCCTTCCTGCTCTGTTCAGACAGGGGCTACAGAGTTTCAAGTTAACAGGCAGTCTAAAAGTAAGCAACATCTGCTGAGGGCTCAGTTTACCCATAATACTCTGAATCCTATGTTATGGGTGTCCCTTGCATTGTATGTTTATATATAAAACACACATTTTATATAAAAAGGTCAATAACAAAAAGAGAACCACAGTTAATATAACGCTGAAACGTAGGCCTCAGCTATATTTTTGAATAATTTTTGGCACTGCTTTCATACCTCAGGGAAATGGGGGTGAAACGTTGGGTCTTTGGTGCATATTTTCATTGTGTTGTTAATTAAGAGCTCTCCATGTGTGTGGAAGAGTCCTGTTGTGATCTCTGATACAATGTTCAGTGGCACTCCTCCATTGACTTCAGTCACCGACCCATAATCCTCCACTGTGCTCACGTTCAGCCTGAGACAGCCAGGAGGGTGATCTTCTACATTAGTCTGATACTTTAGCACTCGTCTAGAAGAGAAAAACAGCAATGATATCTAAAATCAGTATGCTCAAGAGCTAATTAACTTGAATTTGAGAGGCCTTGAACTGCTGGCTACTTGGGTGATTGAAGAGCAAGTGCTTGGGCTTTGGAGTGTCTTATGAAAGTTCACTGTGTACTTGGCAAGCTGTTCCCACAATTTTGATTAAATAAAAACTTACAAGCACCATGCCTTAATTGCTCTGAAGTCTGTTGATATTCTTTCATCAAAAGCAAAAGCTGATACATCATTTAAAAAGATGTTTTTTTTTTCTTCCTCCGAGAAGTGCTCAACTTTTTTATGGGCTCATTCACACCAGCCTTGCTGGGCTACACTGGACAGTGCCCACAACAGCCCCAAACGCAAATACCAGGGAAAAAATCTTGGCATGTTCAAACAGCCACATGCACACATTTTATGCATAGCATTCAGTGAAGAGTAAATGGAATAAAAATACTGAAAAAAGCAAGCACTGTGATACATTGTAATAATGCAACATATGTGCACAATACACACCAACATATACTGAGTTTACATCAGGAGTGTAGTAACATCATGGCACTTCCTCTGAGTAGAAAAACTGAGACATACCTACTACAACTCTGTCCAGCATCTCCATTAAGCAATAGATCAGTGCTATAGGGATCTATTGCAGGCTGTTTGCAGTCAGCAATATATCCCCTTTAGAAGTGATCTGTTGCTGAACAGCTTTATGGAGAATTTGAATGTGATCTCTAATGACTAGATCCATACCCCCAGTAAGAAAAAGTGAGAAAAAAAATTGTAAACAGAGAAAAAAACAAAACAAATGCACAGTCACTTTATATACTATATATATAATATTTTTTTTAAAAATCACCCCCAAATTAATACCCTAAACAAAATTAACAATGGATGATCTGGGTCACATTTTCATTAACTGCACAATTATCAAATACTCATGTTAGTGAACACAAATTCATTTGAATATTGAACAATCGCAAACCTGTGAAAAAGGCATCATTCTGCTAATTTTTGCCCTCCTTAACCTGTCTTAATTTGATTCTCATGTTATGTGAACAATTTACATGAACTGTTTTTTTTCCCCTGTGTCCGTCACAATGTGGTATCCAAAGGAAAAAAAACTTCTCCAAAAGTAAAATGCATAAGTTTACTTTGAGCTTTACTATTCTGTTATGTTACCTATAAGTCACACCTATATGATATGATTTTAGCAGACTTTGTTGATTATATTTTGGAGGAAACTAATAGGGATGCACAAATTATGTGCGTTGGAAAAAAATAATAAAAAATATAAATTTTTTTCTATTTTTTTTTTAATTTACTCCCAATAATTTGCTACCAAATTAAAGCCCTATCTGTCTTGAAAATATTCTGATACATTATAAAACCTAAGCAATTTGATGTGCGGAACCAAGACATCACAAAAAACAACAATCTGGGACACAATAGGGTTTGGAAGCAAAAAGGCCTGGGGGCTCAAGTAGTTAAGAAACATCAAAAATAAAATAATAAAAACATGCTAAAGGAAGCTCGTAGAAATGTCATATCAAAATTACAGGGCAATTGTAATGATAATTAAGAATATGCACTCACAGAAATACACCATACTCTCACTTAAAGACAGAAAGTTTTTTCTGAGCTATTAAGCCCGTTAGGCCCACTTGTCAACTCCAACACGGGCCAGTTATCAGTGGCAAATATCAGGCTAATTTCTTCCAAAAATCAGGACTCATATGCCAGCTGAAATTATTAAAATTCTCATCTAATTGGCTACAGCAATATAGCATGTGCAGATTGGGTTGCAGTGGGTCAAATTACGTAAGATTCTAAAGGGCAATAATTTAAACGATTAAGTGTGAGATAACCATTAGTTAAATTCCCTCTGTGCTTAATGAATGTTCAGCTGTCTCTCTACATCTTTAAGTCATTAATTATTAATGATTATCCCTTAAAGCTACGATGCGCACATAACTGTAAATCCAGTCACAACAGCATTGTAGATGTCCCCTTGGGAAGACTGTCCACATATTGTATTGAACGGTTTAATCCTTTGTTATATCTTAGTTCTTTGGCTTATACAAGAGATTGATCTCTCTGTTTATATAGCATTCTGAATGGGGAACTCCATTAAAAATTCATTATTGTCCACTCACTGCACATTAAATTAGTTGTTATTCTTACTCACAGCAAAGTTGATCTGTCTGCTAAGATTGGAGACCCAAGAAGCCATAGATAGCACTATGTGTCTTTTTGAAACATTTACATAGCTCCCTGAAAGCCATGGATTTCTAAAGTCGTGTCAGTACAGGAATCATAACAATGACTTTTAAGCAGTCTGGCTATCTAAGGTTTAGGTACAGAATATGGCCCAATGTCTCCCTGCACAGGAACACACATAGGTGGCTATGTAGAATAGTGGTCTCCAAACTGTAACCCATGGGCTAGATGTGGCCCTTTGTTTGTTAATCCAAACCTTGGCGCACTTACTCCCATTGATATAAGGCACTAATTCTCCAACAAGGGGGCACTATTTCTCCCACTGATACCAATGATGGGGGCAGTATGATGGGGCACTATTCCTCCACTGACACCAATGATGGGGCATATTCCTCTCACTGATACTAATAATGGGGTAGTTTTCCTGCCACTGATACCAATGACGGGGCACTATTCCTCCCAATAATACCAATAATAGGGCACTATTCCATTAATACGAGTGACGGGGCACTATTCCTCCCATTAATACCAGTGATAGGGCACTATTCCTCCCACTGACACCAATGATGGAGCACTATTCCTTCTATTAATATCAGTGATGGGGCATTATTCCTCCCACTGACACCAGCAATGGGGCACTATTCCTGCCACTGACACAACTATGAGGCACTGTTCCTCCCACTGATACAAAAGGGGAATTAATGTAAAATAGAACTCCATTCAAAACATTTTCCCCTGAAGAACTCTGGTGTTCAGCAACTGCCCAGTTAAATATCAGGGCCCATATACACTAACACTGGTAATGCACTTGTTATGAGTGTTATTGTAAAAAGGACCACATACGATTTTTGGCACATTGACAGCCTATTCATTTCAATGGGCTGCCTTAACATAATACACATTAAAACGCGGCATAACGTGCATGACCGCACCATAAAGTAATTGGGCCTTTAATTGATGAAGTCGAATAAATTGTAGGCTTCACCTTTTTTGATAATGGGCTGTCCAGTCCGCAAAAGATATAGCCTGCAGAGTTAAAGTCCAACTAAACCGACCTAACTCCATGAATAACCAGCTCGGTGTACAGTTTAAGAGGTTTGAGAGAAGGAAGGGAAGAATCCATTATTGCAGAAGAGAAATAATGGGGTTGGTTTACTAAAGATACTGTAGGTATGTTGCTCACTTTGCAAGGGAAATTTTCCCAGAGCTTAGTGAATGTGGCGAAGTTTCACTTTATAAAAAATACCCAATCGCAAGCATTTTTTCTAGCACATGATTGGATGATGGAAGTTATTAGAGCTTCACCTCAATCAAATCAAATATTAGGATTGTAGACACTTACCCAGAGGCATGGACCAGCAGCAGCAGATAGAAAATAAAGAAGAGGTTGTGCGTGTGTAGGAAGATATCAAAGTTTGAAGTTCTAAAAAAATGAAAAAACATGAATATTTTTAGCCTCCTTAAGACATAATATATTCAGTATCAAGTAAGATACTGTATCAGTTTAAAGCTGAGAAGGAAGGAAGGACTTTTCTAAAGGCAAATAAACTGCAATTTGCAAAGTGCAGTTGCTCCAGAGCTTATTAAATATGAAGCTTTACTTTGCAAAGAATAACCAATCACATACAAGGAAGATAAAAAAAAAACAGGATTTTTGCTTGCACATGATTGGATGGTGGAAATCATCTGAGTTTCTGTTCAGTTACTAAGCTCTGGAGCAACTGCTCCTTCAGAGTGCAACTGCACTTTACAAAGTGCACAGTCTATTAGCCTTTAGTAAATCAACCTCAAAGGGAGAGAGAGAAAGAGTAGACAGCTAGGAACAAGTGACACAGTTCAATGAGCGAGGTTTAGAATGCTAATAGCCCTACAGTATGATAAAATGGCCGGCAATGATTGAGCCATTACTGCCAAGTTGTGAGGAACCTATCATGCATTTGCATTTAGAATAGCTGTCAACTTCTCATTAATAAATATACCTTGTATGAGGCTCTTAACTTTGAGGAAGTTGAGGGCCAGAGATTTCCAAGCCCGGGCAATAGCTTGGTTATTGACTGTGAATATGTGGGAAATAAGTGTGCAGTCACAGGGATACACATTTTTGATAATTTTGTGTAAGAAGGTGACCCAGAGGTCCTTAAAGTGACTAGTCTGGAAGATTATATTGTTCATAGTGTAGATGCGTATCCACAAGCCTGTGTATCCACAAAACCTGATAGCATTATACAAATACCTAAATGATGATCCCAGTGTAGGAAGTAAACTATTCAGTCTCAGGGAGTATAAAAAGACACGGGGCCACTCAATGGAATTGGAGGAAATGTGGTTTAACCTGCAGGGGTAGGGTTTTTTTCACTGTTAGGGTGGCAAGGATGTGGAACTGCCTTCCACAATTGGTGGTGTCAGGAGGAAGTATTGATAGTTTTAAAAGACACTTGGACGTGCGTCTTAGTGAACACAATATACATGGATTTGAGAAATGATTCCCACACCCTCACAGGTTGAACTGGATAGACTAGTGTCTTTATTCAACCTTACCAACTATGTAACTATGTAAGCCTTGACACTTGGGGCAGGTCCATCATATGTGGATTGTATACATTTCATTATTCTTGCTAGATGATAATAACAGGAATATTCCAAGGCCTGTACCTTATGGGAGCTTTGGAAAAGTGCCAGCCAAATTTTGCTCCAGGGGAAGGTGTTCTTTATTTCACAGAGGTAAATTCTGTGAGGTTGACCATGGCTGATATTTTTTTGCTCTCATCCAACAGATATAATAAAATGCATTCAATGGTAAATTTACAAGATCAAAAGGGAGCAAATAAGAGAAGATCATTAATAGGGTTAACATATGCTTCAAGCTGATAGGCCTGGGGTAAGTGCTAAGGTAGGCTCATTAAAGGAACCTAATGTTTAAAAAGCATATGAAGATGGAGCAGTGGCTCACAGTCTGTAGAACTTCACCTCTAAAAAGTTTTTCTACCTTTCTATAATAATTCTATACTGCCCTGATGTGCAGCAGGGGTAGGTAGATCACAAAGTAATTCAAAGTCATTATTTTACAAATCTTTTGGTAAATGACAAGTAAAACATTTCCCATTCATACATTCCAAATGTTTGATTGGAAATGCCCTCTAAGGACTGATATGCACTGCATGCAGTATAGTTACCTTATAGATACCGTGGAAGCAGTGGACATAAGAAATAAAATTAGAACCATTAGGACTCCAGTTACTCCAGGAACTACAAATAAAAACAAAAAAAAAACAGAAAACATATTAAACTATAAAAAGTCCAAAAAAACCAGGGCATTTCAAGAGATAAACATTGCCAGAAAAAAATAAAACTCTAGAAACCATTTGCATCGCTATACAATTTAAAAAAATTAATTGGCACTCCATTGCACTAAGGCAATGCAATACAAACACACTGCATGGCAACACACCAACATGCATGTGCATGTCTGTTTTTGAATGTTGTGGTGCGCTCCCAGTCTATTCCTTTGAATGAGCTGCCTTACTGCAATGCATGTTAAAGCATTAAAAAAAGGTCTGGTAATGCAACGTGCCAAGGCACAGAGGTCTGAACTCCCCTTAAACTTGGGAATTTTTGCAAGTATTTTACTTGTTTACTTGTTCATATTTGACTGGTACAGATCTACAGTCAAAAATATTGGCACCCCTGCATTTCTGTCAGATGATGCACCACTTCGCCCATAAAATTGTTGCAATTACAAATGTTTAGGCATTCTCGTGTTTATCTTGTTTGTATTGGTATGACACAAAAAAGTAGAGAAACAAAAAGCCAAATCTGCCACATTCCATGTAAAACCCCAAAATTGGACTGGACAAAATTATTGGCACCCTCAATTTAATATTTGGTAGCACATTCCTTGGAAAAAATAACTGAAATCAATCGCTAACCATCAATGAACTTCTTCCACCTCTCTACTGGAATTTTGGACCATTCTTCTTTCGCCAGCTGCTCCAGGTCTCTCAGATTTGAAGGTTTCCTTTTCCCAACTGCTGTTTTGAGATCTCTGTATAGGTGTTCTATGGGATTGAGATCTGGACTCATTGCTGGCCAGTTCAGTACTCTCCAGTGCTTTGTCTGAAACCATTCCTGGGTGTTTTTTGATGTGTGCTTTGGGTCATTGTCCTGCTGTAAGACCTCTAACAGAGACCCAGCTTTCTGACAATGGGCCCCGTAGGGACTGTATTCTTTTCTTTGAAGGCCTCGTTTCTTTTTCTGAAAACAGTAGAATGATAGGCTTTACCAAAAAGCTGAAATTTTACTTTGTCTGTCCACAGCACATTCTTCCAAAAGGATTTTGGCTTCATCAGGTACGTTTTGGCAAACTCCAATCTGTTTTTTATGTTTCTGTGTCAGCAGTGGAGTCCACCTGGGTCTCCTACCATAGCGTTTCATTCAGATGGTGACGTATAGTATGAGCTGACATAGTTGTACCCTGTACCTGAAGGTCAGCTTGAATTTGTCTGGAAGTTGATCGAGGTTCTTTAGCCACCATTTGTACAACCCTTTGTTGCAATCTTTGACCATGTTTTCTCTTTCGTCTATGTCCAGGGAGATTAGCTACAGTGCCATGAGCTGTAAACTTCTTGACAATGTTGTGCACAGTGGACACAGGAACATTAAGATTTCTCGAGATTGTCCATGCTTTTCCACAATTTTTGTTCTCAAATCCTGACAATTCTTTGCTGCTCTTTCTCTTTTCAATGCTCCATGTGGCACACAGAGACACACAACAGAAAGGTTGAGTCCATATTTCACCGTTTTAACTGGTTGGCAGTGTGATTTCTACATTGTCAGCACCTGTTAATTGGTACAGGTTAGTTTAATTACAAATTACAGGAGCATCACACAAACTAATTTTGTCCAGTCCATTTTTGGGGTTTTGCGGGAGTGTGTCAGATTTGACTTTTGGTTCTCAACTGTTTGGAGTCATAGCAATACAAAGAAAAGAAATAAACATGAGAATGCCTAAACATTTGTAATTGCAACAATTTTCTGAGCGAAGTGGTGCATTATCTGACAGAAATGCAGGGATGCCAATATTTGTGGCCGTGACTGTATATAGTAGTCTGGAAAGGTTTCCTTGAGTATTAAAACAAGTTAGTGGGTACTTGCAAGTGCATATGATGTGCTTTCATGCATCTCGAACCACCCCTAACAGCTGAATGGGCTGCTTGTGCCAAAATCTAGCACATGAGTTTCTTTAGAGTGTTTGTTGCTCACAGAGCCAGTTTGATGATGCGAGTTTTGCAGCAATTTTCATATGTTTTGTTGCGTGACAAAGTTGCTCTACTTTTGGGGTGCCATTAAGAAATAATGGCACCACAAGCATGCTACGTGTTTTTTTTGTGTTTCTGAAAAAGTAGGCAAAATACCCAATTCTGCCCACATTTTCAGAATACCCAGGTGTAAATGCAGCCTTACTGATGATTAACTGATTACCTCTGTGGGAAGTCTGCTCCAATCATCAATTACTCTTGCAGTAAATTAGTTCTTTCTAAGGTTAGCATTGAACTGACCTGCTTGTTTAAGGTCATGTCCCCGAGTTTTAGATCTTGGCTTCATATTGAATATACTGCCATCCTGAACCTTATTAACAACTGTCAGGTATTTAAAGGTTTCAATCATTTCCCCATGCAGCACCCTTTTAGGTTAGGTTGCTACAGAGGTTTAGGTAAATTTAGTCTTTTCGGTTCCTCTGTAAACAGAGGAGCAGTGTATGATTTTTGGCTGCTCTAGGTCTCACAGGATGCAGGCTCAACTACTTCTACGTGCCATTTAGTAGGTTCTAGAATGTAGTGGGCTGGAAGAGACAGTCCCTCAGCTTGAATATATTTTGGAACTCTAGCCAATCCTTGGGGAATTAAACCCAGAAGGTGGAGAGAGCTCATATATATTCTGAGGCCTGGAGCAGCAGGGTTCTTGTCCTGAAGAAGGAGATTACAGCTGCTGCCCTTCTGGGTAGGTTAGCTGAAGCCTACAGGGAGCTCCCCAAGGTCCCAGCTCAGCAGGTGCTGGGGGGCCTGTCACAAAGAATTCATTGAGGTGCCAGCTCATAAGGATTGGGGGGTTATTGTTCCTAAAAGCAGTTTTGAGCCAAGTAAAGGGATGCACTGAGGATCTTAACTGGATATTCATGGTACAATGTCAGGGCAATATTGGACAGGAGGCAGCCATGTATCCGGTGACACAGTGAGTAAAGGACTGGAAGTGGGTTCCAATTGACTGTCTACAGTTTAACCCCTTGAGTGACTGTGCTAATTATTTTAAAGTGGGATGTGCCCTGCTGGGAATTCCAGAAATGCTGGTGTCTGTAGGTACTGCAAAGAAGGGAGGACACCCCTTAAAAGAGTAGACAGAATAGAAATACGCTCACCCTGCACCCAAACCAAGTTCAATGAGCATTAAACCTTAAAAATAAACCCACTGCCTGGTTATTGTGTGTGAGACTGAGGGAGGTGCTGTGTGCCTGGCTGCCATGCACTCACTTGGGAATAGACCTGGGACAACATTTTTCTTTTGAGTTGTCACCAGAGCAGGGATAGAGGGGAAATCTTCCTTGGGGACACCGGTTCTGGTGACAACCAGGGATTTGCTCACTTTAGAGGGATTTCCTCTCATTTCCTGTTTTGGCTATGGCCCAGGAAGTGAAAAGAAATCTCCCAAATAGGACACAGATGGCATAAATAAAAATGACAGGAGTTATAACCCTCCCTCACTCAAAATGTTTTGCCTTTAGTTCTACTTTATGTTCCAGCATTCTGATATGTTTTATCCTTCAGACCTCTGATCATTTTTTATGGCCATCTCTGGACTCATTCTATCTTATCAATAGCCTTTTGTAATTAAGGTCTCCAGAACTGGACTAAATAAACAAAAAAAAAAAAAAAAAAAAATATATATATATATATATATATATATATATATATATATATATATATATATATACCTGAACCCCTCAACCTGCTGGTGATCCCTCTCTTGTGATCAGTGATGAGCCAAATGTATCTAGGTTTGCTTTTAGGGAGGTTCGGTGCACTTTACCGAAGTTCAGATTCCAAATCTGAACTCCATTGGAGTCAATAGAAGCCAAATCTTAGAAATCAGTAATAGCCATAGACTAATTGGCAAGGGATTGTCAAACAAATGGCATGGAGGATGGGTAATACCCTGGAGAACATGTACCAAAGCAAAGAAAGAAAAAATTATTTTTAACTAGTTGCCGACCGCAGATAGCCGAATGACGGCTTCACTGCGGCCGGCCAGTTCTGGGTGGACGTCATATGCCGTCCCCCCAGAACGCGCTCTCCTGCGTGCCCCAGGGGATCTCCGTGATCGCTGTGTCCTACGGACACAGCTGATCACGAGATGTGGTAAAAGGCCAATCATACCGACCTTTTACCACGTGATCAGCGGTGTCCAATGACACGCTGATCACAGGGAAATGTAAGTGCCGGTTCTAGGCTGCACTTTCCTCATGCTGTCAGATCGTGAGGAAAGTACTGCCGAGAACCGGCAGTTGTCAGAGCGAGCATTGGCACCGATCATCAGGGCACTGATGATCAGTGCCCTGATGATCGGTGCCCAGCAGTGCCACCCACAAGTTCCGCCCACCTGTGCCCAGCAGTGCGCCCACTAGCTCCGCCCATCTGTGTCCAGCAGTGCACCCACCTGTGCCACTCTGCAGTGTCACACACCTGTGCCCAGAAGTGCCACCTACCTGTGCCCAGCAGTGCCACCCACCTGTGCCCACCCACCTGTGCCCACCAGTGCCACCCACCTGTGCCACCCACTTGTGCCCACCCACCAGTGCTACCCACCAGTGCAGCCCAGCAGTGCTGCCAGTCAGTGCCACCAGTCAGTGCCCAGCGGTTGTGCCAGTCAGTGCCACCAGTCAGTGCCCAGCAGTGATGCCAGTCAGTGCCATCTATCAGTACCCATCATCAGTGTCATCTATCAGTGCCGCCTATCAGTGCTGCATATTAGTGCCGCCTATCCGTGACACCTCATTAGTGCTGCCTATCAGTGCCGCCTATCCGTGCCACCTCAGTAGTGCTGCCTATCAGTGCCCTTTAGTGCTGCCTATCAGTGCCCATCAGTGCCGCCTATCAGTGCCCATCAGTGCTGCCTCATCAACGCACATCAGTGAAGGAGAAAAATTAC